ACGAACGTAGTATAATAATTATCGTTGTTATGAAAATGCGTATGTATAGCTGCTGTTGTGGGGACTGGTCGAAATTCGCTTAAAACGATGCGTAACTATAAAAGCGATGTATTATAGAGCACCTGTGTTTCATATGTTATTAGTATATTATTACCTAAACTGGCTAAACTGTACACAATAATAATATTGTATACAATTTTGCAAACGTCGAAAAGTCGTGACGACGAAACATTTTTTGTGTAGGTAAAAGTCGGTCTAGGACAGCGGTTCTCATACTTTTTTGTTCGCGGAGCCCTTATGTTCCTAAAAAAAATTACGGAGCCCCCAAAATTCAGAAATGTCTATTTGAGACAACAATAATTCATAGAAAATGATGTTGATTATAAAAAAATGTGTGGATTTATAAATAGATTACAGTTTTACACTTTAAAATAATACATATTGGTACGGGCCAAATAATAATGAATACAAGTATATAAATTAAAAATGTAACTAAGAAATAAAATAATAATTTAATAATTTGAATTTAATTTATACAGATAACATATGGGAGCCACGGAGCCCCTAGATTACTCTCGCGGAGCCCAAGGGCTCCGCGGAACACAGTTTGAGAACCGCTGCGGTAAGGGAACTGTTCCGACTAATGAACCTGCTGCTGATTACTTTGTTAATCGTTTAATTTCATCGGTAAAAGAATCGAACCGAAATATTATTATGAACATTTGGTTCACTAGTGTTCCACTGACACAATAATTACTTACTGAATACAAACTTACTGTAATTGGTACAATAAAACGAAATAAACGAGAATTTACAAATGAATTCACCGATCTAAAATATATCAATCGAAAAGCATATACATCGTTATTTTTATTTGCCAATAATTTGGTAGCTGTGTCATACAAAGCAAAACCAAACAAACTTGTTACTTTAATTTCTTCACTTCATGATGATAACTCAATAGATGAATCAAATAAAAAAACCAATTATAATTATGAACTATAATGAAACAAAAGGTAGTGCCGACAGCTTTGACCAAATGTGTCAAAATATGAACTTTGGTAGAAAAACACAACGTTGGCCATTATGTATTTTCTATAACATGANCTCCTTAAACATGATATAAATGCCCATAGTATCGGGTGGTCAACGGCCATTTGTAGATTAAGCCGACGAAAAATAATTAAATGAAAAAAGGACTAGGTACGCCGAAATAGACCCACGCCGAAACGGCTCTACGCCGAACCAGCTACGCCGAGATGGCCACGCCGAAGTGTCCACGCCGAAATGGCCACGCCGAAATGTCCGGATACGGGTAAAAGTGTACCACATCAATATACCTACCTATTATTATTAAGTATGTATCGTAGGCTACGATATAGGTACCTATGTGCAACAGGCGAGAGTATGCTGCGCGCGGCGGCGGCGTACAAAATGTTCAGAAACTGATAGCTCAGCTCCGTCAACTCGTACAAAAAAATTAGATCGTAACACACGGATAAGTCAAATATTTTGGAATTAAATCATACGACTCAAACGACTGTAAATCGTAACGTTTTCATACTAATGTGATACGACAACGTTTACAAAACGATGCGATATACGATTAAAATACGTAAACATCATAATGCATAAGTTTTCAGTCGTATTTATATGCTATTCAAACGCGTATGTCAACATTAACTATCTTATAGGCATACAACTCTCAGTGTAATATTACACTCGGTAGAGGAAGCAGTCGTAGTCGGTAGAGGTAGTGTGTTACGCCGAAAGAAATCAATTCGTATAATATAACGTGTACGTACAGTGTACACACATAATAATATTTAAGTTTAATGTTTAGTAACGTTAAGTACACAACTCGTAAAATAATATACAGCTCGTGCGTGCAGAGCGAGAATCGCACACATCCGCAGGCTCGCCGTTGTTTATTCGCCTCCCAAAGTCTTCATATTACAGGTATAGGTACCTCCTGTACGCGGGTGGGCACAGTGTATAATAATAATATAAAGAAAATAATAATATTGTAATCTTTATATTATGCACGATTCGTGTGCGATGATAGCAGTGGCGACATGCAGGGATCCGGCCCCCCGTGTAAAACAAAGTATGCGCGCGTGTGTGCGTGAGGATGTGCATGGGTGTGTGTGTGTGTGTGTGTGTGTGTGCAGCAGGAGTTTAATGCGTTACCCTGGGCGCTTACAAAGTTTTCGCGTCGACGCGGATTCGTGCGCATTTACCAGGTGCACGGCGTATATACGCGCGCTTCTTACGCCTTTAACACAATTTAGCATCCACCTCCGGCCCGTTTCCGGTTTCGCCGACTTTATTCGCTAAATACTTCCGGCGTAAGCCTTTGACGCGAGCCCACCCCGTACGCGTGTATCTGTTATAATATTATACGCGTATAGCCGGGCGTGCGAGGGGTGTTGAAGAAAAAAACAAAAAAATGTTGCCCTCGTTCAATTTATCAACGGAAAAGAGTATTTTTTCATTTCTTCGCGAGAACATATCATTATATACTCTACTCCGGTGCAGTTTTTTTTCCACCTACGATTCACTCTTCACCGACGAGCGGCGTACGAAAGTATAATGTGCATATACATACCTAGTTATATATGTACATGTAGTATGCATGTACACATGTACTTATATTCGAGTATATATACATATAATGCTATATGTCTATATACACGCCGTACGCGTCACCTCCTCGCTCGCGTTCCGAGACATTAGGTCCTCGGCGATGTCGTCGGAATGGGAGGAGAGGGTGGGATAGAATGAGGGGCGGGACCGGTGTGTCGCCCGCTACGCCGCCACCAAAACTAATAACAATAATAAAACGGTTCCGGGTGGAAATGTAACGTTTTATTTGTACACACCGCGTTCCGGGGATATAGCCGCTTCCGGCGAGCGATTGCCGCCGGCGGGCGCGAGACGCGAAAAAGAAATGCACGCTGCACACACGCGCGCGTACGAGCCCACCCGTAAATGTTTGCTCGTCTCAAATACTCCGCCGCCGCCGCCCATCCGCGGGGGTTGTAGAAGAAAAACAACCTACAGCAGCAATCGGCGGAGGGGTGAGGGCGCGTGATCGCAGCGGCTCGCCCGTCCGGGATATGGAGGGCCATTCGGTTTATGTATGGTCGTTTATGCGCGGGACGAGTGCGGGATATTTAAAAAAAATAAAATAAAATGCCCCGGATGCGACGGTGGCTTCGCCGGTTGTGCAGGGGGTTGAGGGGAGGGGGTGAATTGTCGCCGCGGGAACCGAAAATCCGGTTTTACGTGCTCGGAAATATTTATTATTTTGCCTCTTTTCCGCGACGGTTTATATATATTGTGCGCGTATATACACGCTCAGGTTTATTTATATATATAGATATATACAGTGCATACGCGAAGCACCGTTGTTTTATCGTTAACCCCCCGAAGCAAACGGATTTTCATTTTTCTCGGGCAGCGTTAAAAAACTACCCCCTCGCCAAAAATGAAATATCCACCGCCACTGTATAGTATATATCCAAGAATCCACTTTATATTATATACCTATAGCCATACCGCGGTGGCGCGGTTAACTGTCGCGGTGATCGACTACAGACGGCGGCAGTGTACATATACACAGCGGCGGATTCTGAATTTTAACCAGCCCGGGAGAATTTCGTTTCACCGGCCCAAAACTCCATAAATACAAAAAATTTATTGAAAATGTTGTAAAATTATAATAGGTAATACATAATAATAATTTTAGTTTGGTTAAATAAATTATTTAATATTCCTAATTTATTACTTACATAAACCATAAAAGTATTATTAATATATATGTATTACATAATATATATAATATATCAATTAATTATATCATATTCATTATTCATTATTCAAGTGATGTATTGTATAGGTATATTATTCAACATATGACATTATGAACAATTGTGATAAACAGTGGAAGCACGCCTGCATATCATACAAATTAAAAAATTGAATAAGGTAGAACTTGCCAAAACTTAATAATTAATATGATAGTTTTTTATTTAAGAAATCACTACTATTTTTTATAATGTCAATAATTTCTTCTGAGTCTATACTATGTAATATACTTTTTTCCACATTCATAAGCATAAATGCTTCTAACTTTTCTTCGCTCAATGAATTTCTTAATCGTGTTTTGATTATCTTTAGCTTAGAGAACGACCTTTCACATGCTACCTGATAAGTCAAAATAAGTAATTAAAATATACCGTATAATTAAGTACTAAAATAAGAATTATAAAATTTGAAATGTATGTCATTACCTGTGTACATGGAAGTGTAAGCAGATACTTATAAGCAAGAAACAAAAAATGGTATGCATTACTATACAAATTATACTTCAAAAGTACATTATAGCAACAGTGAGGACAATTCATGCAAGACTTGCAGTGTACTTCTTCAACATTTGTGCCATGTTTATCACTTATTTCTTCTTCAATATCATCTTCGCTACTTTTTTCATAGTATTCAGGTACAGTTCTTTTTAACTGATCCCAGGATGATGAAAAATTTAATAATTCATCTAACAATTTAGCATGAGTCAATTTGTCATCAAATTTTTTCAAGACTTTGGACAATTCAAGTAATGTATCAGATGGTAATTCTTTATCATGTAAATCTTTAAAGTTATTTGGTGACAAACATGCTAAATCACAGTACAGTTTTTTATTGGAGGAGAACCTTTCTTCCATGCAAGAAATTGTTTTGTCAAAAATTATATTGTGAACTTCAACTGTGAATTTTTCTTCAGCATCAAGTATAGGTTGATCTGATGTCATCTCATCAGCCATTTTTTTTTTTGTGCCTACATCTGATTTTTGGGAACTCTTTGTCAATTAAAATATCCATTTTATGGTTATCTTCAATTATATTTATGAATTGATCTGCTTCAGATTTTACATCTTTCATACCTCTCTGAATTTGTTTTAAATTATGTAAAGATTTATTTACCAATTCTTGAGATTTTATCAAGTCAATTCCTGAGGTTTGTAGATATCTAGATAAAGGTCCCACAATTTTAAAAATTTTAATGTAAATCAATGCTGTTAATATTAATTCATAACTCATAAATGCTTCTTTTAGATTTCTAGCTTTTGCTTTAATTTCAGGATTAAAGTCAGGGGATGATTGAATTGTATCTAATGATATTATAAGTTGCACATAAAGGTTATCTTCACCAAAAATAGTTTGTAAAGATTTTTCTTTTGACCACCACCGCGTCAATCCGATAGAAACCAATTTTTTTTTAATATTTTCTCCAACAGTATTTTTCCAAACATTCATTCTTTTATAAGATTCTTTGAAAAACACAGCGACTTCATTAAGTAAAGAAAATAGTTTTACTGCAGGCAATGCAGACTTAGTAGAGTCTATTAAGACTAAATTAAGAACGTGACTATAGCACCAAACATGTACTTGTCCTGGTGATGATTTAGTAAGCCACGCAGAAAACCCATTATACTGACCTTGCATATTCGAAGCCCCATCAGTAGAGTTACCAATACAGTTTTTTATATTAAGTCCACAACTTAACAATTTATTTTCTAACATTTCATGGAAACTTTTTCCTTTGGTTTCTGTCATAGTTACAACTGATAAAAGTTTTTCATGTACACCACTGGAGTTCACATACCGTACAATGAGTGAACATTGGTCCTGTACTGATACATCTTGAGTAGTATCCATCTGTACTGAAAACATAAGTGCCTCTAAAATCTGTGAAGATATGTTTTTCTTAATTAGGGTACTTATGGAATCGATCACCATATTGACTGTGGTTTTTGAAAAGAAAGTAACCTTCGAAACTTTTCCTTTAGAGTTTCCACTATTTGCTTTACGCTGAGCCTTATTAGTTAACGAATCAACATGTTCATTTAGAACAATGTCATACTTTTTTAAAAGAAGCAATATATCCAAAAAATTGCCATGATCTAAAATAGGATTATTTAAAGACAAAGCGGATTCGTTCCTATGAGCTCGGTAACTAAGTCCTCTCTTACCAATTAATTTTACTATATCTATGACACGCTGAAGTATTTGTATGTTTTTTTTAATTTCTTCTTTTTTTTTCTTTTTAAAATCAGAAAATAGTAATATATTAATAGTTTTGTAACTTGTATGTAAAAGATATGATTCAGAACAAGACATATGTGTTTTACTAGCTTCATGTTCTTCTATACGTTGGTATACATGTGTCCAAACAGATAAGCCTTTAGTGAATAGATTAGGTTCTGAAGAAAAAGCTAAGCATACACTACAAAACAAGCTTTTTGATTGATTATCAAAACTTAGCCACTGGCGTTTAATACTATTGCTTCTAAAATAAGCTTTAGATGATTTAAACAGTTTTTCAACATGAGGTTGTTTTGGATGATACTTAAAAAAATCATTGATACTAGACAGCATAGGTTTTTGAAAATAATTTAAAGTAAAATTATTATCTAACAAATTATTGTTGTCAACATCTTCAACCATAACAATATCTTTGTCATCATCAACATCAGCATTAACCAAAGCACAAACTTTCATAACATTCTCCTACACATAATTTAATACACAAAAATATATTTAGTTTGCAAACACGTTTAGCAATTATTATGTTACAATATAGACATAAAAGAAATATTTTTTAAAAGCATTATGATTTATTTATTTATAGATATTTATTTAAGAATTAAATTTTAATTTTACCTTTTCTAGTATATTTAATGTATTATTAACATCTTTGCAATTGACAACTTCATCAGAATTTGAATTATTACTTAATATTTGATTACTCTAAACCATTTATAAAAATGTAAAGAATTACCTATGTTCTAATAAATTTTTAAACTAATAAGTTTGTTAATTAAATTGTAATCTTACCACATCAACAGTATTTAAGAAAGTATCATCAACACTGCAATCATTGACAGCATTAGAAATTGTAGTATTACTAGTAGTAGTACAATTATTACTCTAAAACAATTAAAATAATTCAGTAAATAATCAGTATTCTTATTTATAAATTATTAGGTAGGTACCTATTTTAATACAGATGCAATGATTTATCATTTTGTATTGAACAAAAAAATAAAACATAACATTATAAATTGTTAGGTACAACAATGTTGTTGT